CCTGGCCAGATTTAGAACCAGGGCAGGGCTCTGTGACTTAGTACCAAGGGCACAGAGGGGTGGTTTCCAGACGTCCACAGGGGAAGCTTACCTTAAAAAAAAAAGCTCAGGTTATACACACGCCTTGCAGAACACTCAGAATGGAACACTCAGTGCTGGCTGTGGATGGAACTAATAGAACATGTTAAACTGAGTAGAATCTGCTGCCCATTTAACTAAAAGTGGTCCAGAGAATCTACTTCGCACTATCCTGGACGACTCAAAAGTAATGAGACACTAATATTTAAAGTAAGGGTCGGGGTTCCTTGGTGTGTGTTTGGAACCCACGTGGATGAGTTTAATTCAGTTTGGTGTCACCAGGGGTCCTGAGCACAGCACCCCTGGAGTTCTGCTTTCCTGACCAAGCGGCTCGGTCGGTGCTTGCTGGCCTGAGTCTCCGTGGACGTCAGGTCGCCAGCCCGAGTGGAAGTCCCCCTGAGACACGGAATGCGCTTCTGCAGGAGGGAAGGAAGATGGTAAACGGCAGGCCTGGTCAATCTTGTATTAAGGTCACCCAGCCTTCAGTGTCTCGGAGAGATTTCCAGGCCAAAAGCCATTCTTTTGTATTTGTTTTACAATCACAGTGGCATTTCCTCAACGCCCCCCAAGAACATGTGTGGTTTCCGCAGAGAATAACTCCATCAAATACCGTGTGCAAGTTCAAGCTGGACGTCACTCGGACCTCCTCTCTGCCTTCCCAGCCTTCGTTTCCTGGATAATTCCCTCTAGATCTGCGGCTCGCTCTGTCGGGTAGAAATCTCACATATCATCAGCCCTGCGGATGTCTGGAGACCGGCCACCTAGGGTTGTGCTTGTTCCTGCTTGTCCCATGTGCCTTGTAAGGAGTGTCCCTGAGTCCCACTCCCCCTCTATGGCCGCAGGGGCTTCAGCCAGGAACTCTGAGGTCTCGAGGAGGAGGAGGATGAATGCAGGGGGTTAAGAGGGCATACGGCGGCTTCGTCAGTCGCAGGTGGAGAGCTTGCTAAAGGTCACAGCCAGGGAGCTCTGCTAACCTCTCCGGGGCGGGGCCAGAACCCTGTCACGGCAGCACACCCTCCATCCCACCCTCTGCTGCAAGAGAGACTGGAAAACACACTTGCAATTTTTTTTTTTAAATCTGGGCACTTTATAATCCCAGTTGGAAATCTGTCAACTAGGAAGAAGTCAAGAATGAGATATTTGATATCATGGCAATTAAAAATCTCCACCCCACTGTCCTTGGTGGGGACTAAGTGTACCTGCGCAGAGCACCTAAGCGCTCCTGATGAGCCGCTGGCTTGGGGGAATATCCTTTCTTCTCTCGCCCTGTGTCCCCCCCTTAAGGCTTCAGCCCACAGTGGAGCAGGGCCTGAAGCTGCAGTTTGTCTTCTGTCTAGTGACGTCTACTGAATAGCTCCATCTTCAGGGAGAGGAGGCATGCCATGAGAAAAACTATTCTCATCACTGATGGAGCATTCAAACGAGAAAAGCCGTTTTGTACAGAGGTTTCTTGGATGCTTACAGAAGCACTGAATTGTTAACTCAGATACAGCTTTTCAGCCAGCTGTGAGAAACCCATAAAATGCCTTATAATTCTGCCTAAGTCCTCATTCTGTGAAAGAGCAACCTCGTTATCAGTGCCCGGCACCCAGCGCTGGCCACATCCGCAGAGTGCACACTAGCACAGGCACACGCGTTCCACACGATTTTAAGCTCTTTATTGTTAAGTAACTCACTGGGGTGTCAGAGTGTGTTATAAATCCAAACAGAAAATTAGAGACAAGCGTTATGTGGGAATGTGACTGTCTATCCTAGTTCGGGTCAGAGGACCCGATGGAGGCGGCACCAAGGGCAGAATGTGTTTACTGGAGTTGATGCCTCTGTTCTGACACTGACCGAGCACGACTGTGAGCAGGCAGAGCCCAGGCAGCAAAGGGAAGTGAAACGAGACGGGTGGGAAACAAGCTAAGAAAAGGAGGGAAAGGGGCACTTCTGTTGGTTGTAGGGGTGGTTTTTTTCTACTTAGCAGATCGTACTACTCTGATTTAGCTGAGTAATTGCTGCTGCAAAATCCCGCTCTGCAGCGCATGTGCATTTTAAAATATGGGTTTTGCATTCCTTAAGCAAGACAGGGAAAAAAAAGCATTATTAGAGTGCTGATGTTAATTTTGCAGCTTGTGACCTGAACGGATCTCTTATCCATAGTAACAGGAATACAAGATTTGCACATGTGCATTTATCAAATAACTGTTGCTCAAAGGCAAAAGAAAGGAGGAGGAAAAGGAAAGAAGAAAGGAAGAAACAGAGGGAGGGAGGGAGGGAGCAAGGAAGGAAAAAGGAGAAAAAAAAGGAAAAACACTTTATATACCTATATATTGAACTTTTATTGGTAATCTTGGACTATGTGATTCAATTCAATTTACTGGTGTGCTTTAATTAAAATGCAGAGAAGGAGAGAGAGAAAGAGGGATTTTCCATTAAAAAGCAAAAGCTACGTGTGATGTGTGTGTGTGTATGTGTGTGTATACATTTAAATAAAATAAACAAATGAAAAACTGTGGCATATACTTATTGCCAGCTCTGCAACAATGTTAAAAAAAAGGTAATTTGGAATGTAGCTAATAACGCTTCAATTTATAAGGCTTAAAAATGACTCTTCAGTCATAGGTGATTGGATTTGTGTTTAAAGTAATCACAACTAACATCTTTTAACGTGGAAACAGAGTATATATATTTATCTCACGTGCTACCATTTAAGCAACTCTAAAGCACTCAGCTTATCCACTTCATAATGAGCTCTAAAATCACCTTAATTACATTTCACCAAATCTTTTATTTAAATGACTCCAAGTTCAATGGAAGAGTTTCTCAAAATCCACCATTCAAGTTATTTATGTTTTCTAAAGTAACCAAGACAGGAAACATACATAATTGCTTCTAGGCACAAATAAATAACCTTTCCCTTTACAGCCTCCCTACCTCCGCCTCCACCCTCTTAATCCCTACACTGCCAAAACCCCCACCCCCAAAATTCCATCCCTCCTGTAGCAGCCAAATGGATGGTTTATCGCCATCCATTCCCTCACCCTGTCTCTCTGAGCCTGTTCCTTCCCCTTGTCCCCGGAGCAGGTGGCGGGAGGTGGGTAGATGCCCCCTTGTCACAGGCCTTACCAAGCTCCTGTTCACCTTACTTCTGCTCCTCTGCATAAAGCCATTTGCTGGAGTCAAGCAGGGCATTAAAGAGGGAAGCACCTCTTTGAATAATAACGCCAACCCTGCCTTCTGCCTCCTGGGTGAGAGAGACAAGAGCTTCCAGCACTCCTAGATCAGGACCTGGGCAAGTGGCAGGGGAGGAACTGCCTGAATTGGTGGCACTGTTTATTTCTTACAGCCTCTACCTCTGCCAGCAGATATCAAGACATGATGAGGAGTGAACAGAGTGACTCGAACTGGTCCGTGGATTTCATAGTTAAACATCTCGACATCACGAGCTACTGAATACACAGCCTGTGTATCTTGATTATATACTATGTCGTCTCTTTAGG